CCGCGTGTGGTTCAGAGCAGCGTCGGTCCATGCGCGCAGTCAGCGAGGTAGCCAGAGCAGCCTCTAGTCCGTGGGCGCGGCCCAGGGGCCCAGATCTGCAGCAGACCTGGGCACCCGGACCTCTCCTCCCAGACACCTGCAAAGGTCACGAGCACAGTAGCCTCTGTAGCTGACGGACTGCAGCTCCCTCACTGAGGTCGTATTGTTGTGAGGGCCGTTTCCAGACCACTTCCGTTGGTCACACTAGGAACGAGCCGCAGCAAGGGGACTGTGTGATGTCCATTCCTGTTTAGTAACCTTCAGTGCGTTTAAGTTATTTTAAGGAAATCCTTTGGAATTGCTCATAGGAAATAACTTTAAAGATATAACAAAAATTAATGTTTTGAGCAAAACAAAAAGATTGTTAATGACTTTCTGGACTATTGTTTCAGTAAAATGATCGGGTTAACAGTCAGATTGCCAGGGGTAATTGAGTCATTTGCTGAGAAAATGGATAATGCATATGAATAATTTGAGAAACGAATAATTTGACTTGCTGTCAAAGAAAGCAAGTTATTAGAAAGAAGAGCAGAAGCCAGGCTCAGTGGCTCAGCCTGTAATCCCGTGCCTTTGGGAGGCTGACGTGAGTGGATTGCCTGAGCCTGCGGGTTAGAGACCTGCCTGGGCAGGCGAGACCTCATCTCTACAATAAATCAAAAAATTAGCCGGGCGTGGTAGCGGGCGCCTGTAATTCCGGCTACTTGAAAGGCTGAGGCGGAAAGATTGCCAGAGCCCAGCAGGTGGAGGCTGCGGTGGTCGGGAGCGGCCACTGCACTCCAGTCTGGGCAACAGAGTGAGACTCCAACTCAAAAAAGAAAGAAAGAAAGAAGAGCAGAATTCAGTTATGATAAAGGACCCCTGTGCCAGGAACTGGTAGACATCTCAGTGAAGACACAGGAGACAAGAGAGTAAGGGAGCACAGAGTCACACAGGCAACAGAGGATGAGATGGTAGTTTTAGGACTAAAACAGATATTGGGAGTCATCCTGTTTTGTACCTTTTCTCAAAATAATTTAAGCCCTCAACTTACAGACAGACTTGCATAAACTGAGACTTAAAGCAGTTAATGACTTGCCCAGAGCCACCAGCCATTTGGATTGTGATCAAAGAGGTGGAGTGGAATTTGTCTTGAATACTAGGGTTTACCCACCTTTAAACCCCTACACCTCTTCCTCTAGAATTGTGAACAGAGAGAAAGGCAGATTAGAAGAACAGGTGTGTTGAGATAGTGATAATTTGATGTTTCTTTTTTTTAAGGTAGAACATTTTAGGTACCAAGTGTTCAAGGTAGGTTAAAACCATATATGAATAAAATATTTAGTCCTCTTCTTCAGTCCTCATTAGTTAATTTGAGAGTGAGGAAATGACACTTAGTTGGGATGCTTTGGCGCATTTTAAAAGTACTTCTTCAGAACCATATGTACCTTTGTGTTAGGATAAAACACCTGACTTTATGCAGCAACAATTTTATAGGTATCTCCACCTAATCCACCTTTCACTTACACGTTTCCTTCTGGTGGTAGGCAGTATTCTGTTCACTAACTTCTTTGCCTTCTATACTAGCTTCTAGTTGTATGTTTCTATGTAGCATACAGGTGGATTTCATTTCCAAGATAAATGCTACAAATAGGGACCCTCTATTTCATCACTGACTATTAGTTTCTCTAGAAGTGCCTAGTTGCAGCAGTGTGACACAGGTCTTTCGTGGTCCCTTCAACGCATTAGATTACCAGTATCACCCAAGTTCTAATAATGGGGAGCAGTGACCCTCAACAGTGATACTTCTCACACATCCCTTCTCCACGCACATATTTTTATAAATGGCATTTGCACTTCTTTGAATAAAGTTCACCTTACCAGAATTTTGTTAGGGCACAACTTCTTAAACTTTGATGGCTTTGCTTTTGTTAAGGAATATTAAACATGAAGTTAAAGATGATTTGTCTTGTTTCCTAATACTTAGTGTCCCTTATATGGTAATCTCTGTTGTGAAAGTAAACCAAATTATGACTTTGAAAGCTGTCTCAGTGTGCATCTTAGAAATCATTTTCTTGTAATTCCAGCACTTTGGGAGGTGGAGGCGAAAGGATTGCCTAAACTCAGGGGTTCCAGACCAGCCTGAGCAACATAGTGAGACCTCTAGTCTACAATAAGTCAAAAAAAAAAAAATTAACTGGGCATGGTGGCACATGCCTGTGGTTCCAGCTACTTGGAAGGCTGAGGCAGAAGGATTGTCTGAGCCCAGCAGGTCGAGGCTGCGGTGGCTATGAGCTTGCCACTGCACCTCAACCTGGATGACAGAGTGAGACTCCAACTCAAAAAAAAAGAAAAAGAAAAAAAGCACTTTCTGCAATAGAGAACTTCAGAATAAAGTCAATTCTTTAGCAGAAGCAAATAGCTTATTTTGTATTAAGGTGTTGGATAACCTGCGAAGCAAAGAGGATACAAATAGTAATAGATCTTGCTATAGGTATGATAAGTCTGTGGACTTACTGTAAGTCCCAGGATTGAATAGATTAGGTAACAGGAGTATTTTCATTTCCATGGCCATACTGGTTGCACTTTAGGGTCCTCTCAAACGACATATAGGAGTCTCCTGGAGACCAGAATTCGATTCTGAGTCTGAGGTAGAAGGGGCTCTGGGGTGGCAGGGGTGAGATTCTACCAACAAACTTCCAGGTGATACTACTGGTCCCCAAACCACTCTCGGACTGAAAATGTTGTAGGTATTAAACAGCAGCTGATGAGACTCTGCCCTCAGACTCTAGAAGTTGCTGCCTCACTGGCTACTTAGAGTTAACCTCAGCAAACGTTTTCTGTAAAGGGCCAGATAGTAATTTTTTTTTTTGAGTTGGTAGTCTCACTCTTGTCACTCAGGCTGGAGTGCAGTGACATGCTCACAGCCACCTCAGCCTCAACCTGCTGGGCTTAGGCAATCATTCCGCCTAGCCTTCCAAGTAGCTGAAACTACAGATACCCGTTACCATGCCCAGCTAGTTTTTTGTTGTTGTTGTTTTTTGGGGTCTTTTGTGATTTATTTAGAGGCGAGATCTCACCAAATTGCCCAGGCTGGTCTTGAACCCCCAGGCAGATGCAGTTCTCACGCCTCGGCCTCCCAAAGTGCTGGAATTACAGGCTGAGCCACTGAACCCAGCCAATAATAAATATTTTAAACTATGTGGCCACAAGTCTGTGTTTCATTTTCTGGATTGGTTTGTGTGCTTGTTTTAACAACTTTTTAAAAAAATGTTTAAACAGCCTTAGCTCTGAGGCAAACCCTTGGCTAGAACAAGAAGCTGAAGTCAAATCCAGTAGACTTGTCAAGTTAGTCCCTGAATTCCAGATCTGATATTGAAGTTAAGCCCTTTCTTTTGTCAGAACTCTTGGTAGGAATATAGGGATTTCCATTCCAAAGGAGTTTATAGGAAGGTATGTTTGGGGAGTGAGGGAGGAGAGAGAATTTGAAAGGAAATGAAGCTACCATTTTGATTAACCCATACTCAAAGTAAAAACCCCTAAAAAATATTCACACTTAGATCATAAATAAGAGCCTAGGCAGAAATTCAAGAGGGACCCAGGAAGCATTTGACTTCCTTAGTTTGTGTGATCAACCTCTATATACTGTGAGTCAGTTCAATATCCAGGTTTAAAAACTTGGTCAGATCTATGTCTAATTCCAGTTCTACTGCTTTCTAACTGGGTAACTTTAGTCAAGTTACTTAACTTTTCTGAGATGTAATAATTCTCCTGTCATGCAAGGTTGTTAATATTAAATAAGAACATGTATGTAAAGTGTGTAGAAAACAACAAATGGTGATTGTTATTATGAGTATAGGCTGGACGTGGTGGCTTACATCTTTAATTTCAGCATTTTGGGAGACTGAGGCAAGGAGATTGCTCGAGCCCAGGAGTTCAAGATTAGCCTAGGCAACATAGCAAGATCTTGTTTCTCCAAAAAAACTTTTTTAATTAGGGTATGGTGGCACGTATGTATAGTCCCAACTACTCGGGTGGCTGAGGTGGGAGGATCGCTTGAGCCTAGGCAGTGAGGATGTGGGTGTGTGTGTGTGTGTGTGTGTGTGTGTGTGTGTATATTGAGTATGACTGAGTCCTGTAAAGAATCTTTGTGACTCATTATCAGGCTGTCCTTTAGGGTTGTCCTAGATACAGCTCTCATGGCATTCATGCCTTTACTAATGTCCCAGCAGACATGGTAGGGAAACTTGAACCAACAGCCCTTAGTAAAAGCATATTTAACTTTTGCAAAACCAGTAGAAACCTCATTACTGAACAAGTCATTATTCCATGTGTTTTTAAAGATGGAATTTCTTTGGGCCAAAGATAGTTGAATAGTTATTTTTTCAACATGATTATTAGTAGTTATTTTCATTACTTATTTTGAGGAATGTGAAAAACAGCTTTGCCACAGGGACTTGCTCATCCTAATTTTATTTCAGTGTTTCACTGGGTAATGAATGATACAAGTGAAGAGTTTTGTCTGCCATGTCAGGACATCCAGACATTAGTGGTTAAAGTAACAGTATCAACAGTATTCTTCTTGTTTAAGAAAGAATTATAGATATTATACAGATTTTTAAATTTAAAACATTGAATAACTATAAACACTTGCTATCTTTAAGTATAACTTTTTAGACTTAACAAAATGCCTAAGAATTTCTTTTTGAACTTTAAGAACTTGGTTTTTTTGGATTATTGTTTTTATTGTTATTTTTAACCCAGAGTAACTCATTTTATTACTGAAAAACAAGAATTACTAATCTTAAAATTACAAACCACTAGTATCTAAATACTTTAATTATCATTTCAAATACATATTGTACATACTGTTGCATTTTTGTTATGCTAATTTTATTATATTTTTAATGTTTTAAAAATAGGTAGCATGAAATAACTTGTCATTTGAATCTGTGGTTGCAAGATTTTGAAAAAAACTTTTTTAGCTTTTAGTAAAACATGGAGGAGACTTGTTTGCTGAGAATGAAAATAAAGATACCCCTTGTGATTGTGCTGAAAAGCAACACCACAAAGATTTGGCCCTCAATCTGGAATCTCAAATGGTATTCTCACGGGATCCCGAAGCTGAAGAAATAGAAGCTGAATATGCTGCATTAGACAAACGAGAGGTCAGTTTTTCTTTTAATAAAAGAGTTACATTTTATAATTTTAGATTTTTGTATTAAATGTTATGATTTTCATCTTTAAACCTCAGTTTAAATATTCTGTTTCTCCATAGCCATATAGTTTTAAAATGCATCTAGAAAACCTGGGGCTGCAGGTCTTTTCTCTGACATTTGTGAGTATATTTCTTACATATAAATAAAGATGATGATGTGCAATATGAATCCTAGTCACTCCTACTGCAAGACTCCAGTCCTTCTGTTCAGTCTCTCCTTCTCTTCTGGATTAATCTTAACAACAAGCATGCTTCAGTAACTCCCATCTTAAAAAACAACTATTTGACTACCCTTCCCCAGTCTTGTCTCTGCCCCCCCTTTAGGTGTAGCCTCATATCTCTGATCTTTGTACCTCATATGAGAAACAAAACTGAAGAGTTGCCCAAACGTATCCTTTTCCTCACCTTCCATTCACTCTTCTGCAGTATGACTTTCTTCTTTTATGCTGTGATGAAGCTGCATCTGTCATGGAGTCACATGTTGCCAAATTTAATAGGTATTTTTGCTCCTCATCTTACTTGAATTCCAGCACTTGACCCAGCTGACCACTCCATTCTTAGTGAAACACTCTTCTTTTTTTTTCAGAGACAACATTCTCTTCTGGTTTTCCTTTAAGTCTTCCCTGTCTCAGCAAACATTACCTCCGTCCTCTGAGTTACTCAAGATAAATGTGGGGAGAATTCTTGATTCCGCACATCTCCTTAGCCATCATTTCCAGACAATCAGAGAGTCTTGTCAGTTTTGCCCCCAAAATATTACAGATTTTTTTATTCCCAATTTTTGCCACTATCTCCCTAGGCCCTCACCACCCTCACTTCTTATTTGAAGTACTGTGATAGTTTTCTTGCTAGTCTCTTTCCTTCTGTTCTTGTCCCTTTAGAATCCATTTTGTACACAGGAGCCAGAGTAACATTTTAAAACTTAAGTTACATCATATCACTTAAATCATTTAGTGATTTTGTTGTTCTTAGAATAAAATCTGAGCCATTTGCTCAGATGTAATCCCTTCTGTGATCTGACCACTACCTGCCTGTCCAACATCATCTCAAACCTTTTTTCCCCCAGCACACTTTACTGTAATTATAATACCTAGACTACACCAAGATATTCACTCTTGCTTTCCTATGTCTGAAATCTTCTCCAATTATTTTTCTGGCTGACTCACTGATAGTCTTGGACCATTCTTTCTAAAAGAGGTCACCTCATTTACCATTATTCTTTACCACATGCTGTTTTCATTTTATCTTAAAAATTCTATCTTCTTTATTAATATTATTTTTATCACCAAATTATAATTGTATATATTTATGGGTTACAGTGTTGTGTTTTAATATATGCATGCAGTATGGAATGATTAAATCAAACTGCTTAACATATCCATCACTTAACTTACCTATCATTTTTATGAGACATTTGAAATTACTCTATTAGTTATTTTGAAATATACAACACATTATTATTGACTCCAGTCACACTGCTGTGTAATAGATCTCAAAACCTAATCTTGCTGTCTATCTGAAACTTTGTATGCCCCTGATTACTCTTCATAGGACCTATCACATATTATAATTATTTTGTATATGTATTTGTTTACTTGTTTATTGCCTTTATTTCCTATTAGACTGTCAACTCCATGAAGGCGAGAACCATATTTGCTTTATTCAGCGAGTATTTTCAATATCTAAGACACCACTTGCACAAAGATATTTCTTATGGAAATTATAACACAAACCTTTTCTTCCCCAAATTATCCTGATTCCTCAGTGTTCAGTGCTGATGTGATTCTAAAAGGAGTTAAATAACTATTACTTTGTACATATTTGGAAAAATAATCATTTAACCATATTGTTTTATTTTTCCCATGAATTTCCAACAAATTTTTGGTTTTTATACTCTACATATGGCCAAAAGAACTGAGTTTATTGGAGTTAATATTTACATTTTTTTATCTTTTGTGTTTCTCTAGTTGGCTTATTTAATAGGCATGCTTATTCAGATTTTGTACACAGATAGAGAGGGCCTATGTCCTAAGCATTTGCTAGTCCTTTCACACAGGAACCTTGAATGACGGTTGTGCCCCCACTCCTTCTTTTTTTTGATCAGAAAAATAAACCAGAATATAGTTGAATAGCTTGCCAAAATCAAAGTGAGCTGAACTTGGTCCTTCTAACTTAAAGTCCAGTATCTTTTGTTTGCCCTACTTTTTGGCAACCCATGATTTGAGTCAAGTTGTTAATATAATAATTAATATAGTTATTTAGTCAAAAGACAATATTTGGACAATAATATTCCAGAAAAAATGTTGATGTGATTAAGTCGAAAGCCATTACAACTATTTAGTATTTTCTCTAGGATACTATTTTAATTTAATTAAATCAGAAAATAGTAGTTATTATCAGTCAGATTTAAGATATAGCCAGGCATGGTGATTCATGCCTGCAATCCCAGCATTTTGGGAAGCAGAGGCAAGAGGATTGCCTGAGTCCAGGGATTCAAGACCAGCCTGGGCAACTTGGTGAGACTTCATCTCTGTAATAAATTTTTTAAAAATTAGCCAAGCATAATTGGGTCCAGCTAGACTTCTTTGACTGAACCAAAAGGCTCGCCTGAGCCTACCAGGTCGAGGCTGTGGTAGCCATGAGCATGCCATTGCACTCCAGCCTGGATGACAGAATGAGACTCTGACTTAAAAGAAAAATATATATATTTAAGATCTAAATGAACTTAGTATAAATACGGTACATTATTATGTTAGGTTTTGTTTTTTTTGTTTTTGTTTTTTTTTTGAGTTGGAGTCTCACTCGCTCCCGGCCACCGCAGCCTCCACCTGCTGGGCTCTGGCTGGGCTCCAGCAATCCTTCGCCTCAGCCTTCCAAGTAGCCGGAATTACAGGCATGCGCTACCACGCCCAGCTGATTTTTTTATTTATTGTAGAGATAAATTTATTGTAGAGATAAATTGAGGTCTTACTGCCCAGGCGGGTCTCGAACCCGCGGGCTCAGGCAATCCACTCACCTCAGCCTCCCAAAGGCACGGGATTACGGGCTGTGCCACCGAGCCTGGCTTATGTTAGGTTTTTAGAAGTTATACAACAGTTTGATACTAATTCTATTGAAAAAACATATTTAGGAAAAAGATTGAAGTATACCAAAATGATCACTGTGGTTGTGGGTAATTTCCTTTACTATTATTATATTTTTTATTTTCATGCATTTCCTAAATATGTAATGAAGATTTATTGCTAAAAATATTTTTTAAAGTCTTCTTTCTGATGGTATCCCCCAGTGGTAATAGTTTCTTATATGTACTATCAGACTTAAGCAAACACATATGCATATTGAGTTTTTAATGCAAAAGTAAGATCATATCATGCATTGAGTTCTTCCAAAATATTTTTTCAACTTAACAGTATGTCATAACCATCTCTCCCACGTCAGACCATATAATCTATATATTTTAACCATTTACGTACTGATGAACATGTAAGTAATGTAGATATTTTTACCTTTAAAAACAAGGCTTCAGTGAATAATTATTTGTCTGCTTTATGCGCGCGTACACACACACACACACACACACACACACACACACACAATTTGTGTTATTATTGTAGTTAACAAAATGGATTCTAGAACCAGACTGACTGGGTTCATATCTTAGCCTGAGGACTGACTTACTGTGTGACCTTGAACAGGCTACTTAAATTTCCTACCTCAGTCTTTACTTAAAATGGAGATAGTAGTTGCTAGCTCATAGGGTTATAGTGATCATTAAGGAAATTAATAGATGTATATGCTTAGAACAATGTCTGGCTCATTTCAAGTGTTAGCTAAGTGCTGCTATAATCATTATTACATCATCACCATTATGATTGCATTTATATACTCATTTTAAAAGTATAGTTACTATATACTTATAGAAGTTGATTTGATGGATCATAAGTTTTTAAACTTTAGCAGATGCTACTAAAGTATGCCAGAAGATTATATTAATTTACTTTTGTTCCAGTAACTTACTAGAGAATCCTTTCTCCCACATTCTTGCTAGCATTGTCTATTATCAGTTTCCAATATTATTAGCCAATTTAGACAAATAAGTGGTACCTTGTTTTGATTTATTTATTTGATTATTCTGTAAATTGTCTGTTCATTTGCTCATTTTCTATGGATTGTTTGTGTTTTCTTAACACTTTCTAAGACAACTTTGTGTATTTTTCCAGATCCTAAGTTTTTAACATAAAGGTTTTAACATAAATTTTTTTTCTTTATATCTTCTGAATTTGTGGCACGCTAATATTATAATCATATACCCCTATGTTTCTTCTAGTTTTGTTTTGAATCCATGTTGGATTTGTTTTTGTCTGCTATTTTTATAATATAAAGAGCAATACTTTCTGTCAAATAGTTTTGCATAGATGTTTACAGCAGCAATATTTATAATAGCCAAAATATAAAAATAAACAACCCAAGAGTTTATCAACTGATAAATAAACAAGAGGAAATATATACACACAATAGAATATTACTCAGTCATAAAAACAAGTGAAGTACTAATACATGCTATAATGTGGATTAACCCCTGAAACATGCTAAGTAAAAGGCCACAATTTGAATGATTCCATTTATATGAATGATCCTGAATAGATAAATCCAAAGAGACAAAAAGCACATTGGTGGTCGCCAAGGACTGGAGAGAGGGAAGAATAAAGAGTGACTGGTTAATGTGTATGGGGTTTGTTCTTTGTTTTTTTTGTTTTTTTTGGAGTGATGAAAACATTTTGTAACTAGATAGAAGTAGTGATTGAGCAACATTGTAAATATACTAGATGCCCCTAAATTGTATACTTTAAAATGTTAATTTTATGTTATAGTATTTTTACCTTAATTTATTTTAAGCAATATTTTCTTTAAAATGTATTATGTGGCTGGGCAAGATGGCTGTAATCTCAG